CCATAGTATATTGCCATCCCTCCCTCCCTCCCGTCTCGCCATAGTCCCTCCCATCTCGCCATATTCCCTCCGTCCCTCCCTCGCCATCTCAACATCCTTCCCTCCCTCACATCTCGCCATCCCTCCCTCCCTCCCTCGATCCATCCATCCATCTTATTCTTTTTCTTTTTCTTTCTTCTTGGGCATTGTTAAGCAGTCTCCCTCCATCCTTTTATCCCTCCATCCCTCCATCTTCTTCTTCTTCTGTTTTGCCCCCAACCCAGTATGTACTTCTGTTGCAGCAAAAAGCAGGCAACATACATGCAGAGTCCCCAACACCCAGAAACCCCCCCCCCGCACACCCAGACAACCCGGCCCCCCCCCCAAACCATAATTTCATTGTAGATTCGGGGTCCTCTTGCCGAGCACAGGAGGACCCCGCCTTCAAAAAATAAAAATAAAAAACTTCTGGGCTGTTTTTTTGCCCGGGCGGCCCGGGGGGCGTCCGTACTCAGCCAAACCTTGAATCAAACAGAAACAGAGCAAGCGGACACTCATTACCTGTGTCCTGATCTGGACCTCAAGTGGTGCTCCATCAGGTCCTGTCACTGCAGTGTGAAGAGACTGAGCTCATACCCATATCATCCACCATGACAAAACCCAAAGGATGGCAGAAGTTAGCAAGAGTTGCAAACACTTGAAAACAAAGAAGATTCATTCTGAAGGAATCTGCGTAAAGAGTCCAATGCATGGCAACAATTCTTTTCTTCCTTTTTTTTTCCCTTTTTTTTTTTTTTTCACATGTTGCAAACACTGCAAAACACTTTTCGGTGCTCACCACTAACAATCGGCAAAGAAATGGCCGAAGACACAAAGATCTCATAACCATCAGTTTTTCTGTCCGCACTTTCTGACCCAACACTGATAGAACCAACGTGTATAGAACCATAGGAGCTGAAGGGTCTTGTCTGCTGTGCTGTGTAATAGAGCTCCCTTCTATCATATTGTCTCCCACTCATCCTCCCTACTATTCCTTCTACCATCCCTTCTACTGCAATAAATCGCAGTTTCCCAGTGGGGCTGTACACTAAGTGTTTAGCTTTGTAGTTTGTTTTCTTGTTTTGAGCCTTGCGGGACTTGATCCCCGTGACCTGTAATTTGTATGTTTTGTTTGTTAGTTTTGAGCCCTATGGGACTTGATCCCTAAGTTTGTCACTACTTGTCTCTGTTTGGTAGCGTTAGGCCATTCGGCCTTTTCCTTTTGCCTTGTCATAGGTCTAGGTCCCCTTTTCCCCCTGTTTCCATCTAGATGCAGATGAGTATTGGGTTGTGGCCTTTGGAGTCCGTCGTAGGTCTAGGCAGAGGGTAGAAGTAGCCGGCAGGAAATTGGTTTGGGGCTTTTCACGTTTTGTTGGCTGGGGAAACTCTGCCGGTCCGTTGCTGGAGCGCTGCTGCTCTATTTTGGGCGAGGTCATCTTCTTCCTGAAGCCCAGCCATAGCTGGGGTTGGGGGACCAAGTTGAAGATAGCACTGCTGCTATTTCGCAGCTCTGCATGAGAGCTTCCACAGGACTGTGTTGTTGGGTTTGGGTGCTGCCATCTTCCACTTGGCAGCCATATCTGCTGTTCCTCCACATATGGTTAATAGGTGGTGTCATTTTCGGCGGATTTTTCACCGAAACTGCCATATTTTCCCGAATTGGTGTTTTTTTTTGTGTTTGTTTTTTTGTGTGATATGTATGTGCTTTAGGGTATATGTATATTAAGTTTCCATGTATTTGGACCGCTAATAAAAAACTTGGCAAAAACACCGAATTCGGGAAACAAATTGCCGAACTTCGAATGCTACTCCGAATAGGGTTTTATAGTGCATTTTAGTTTTTTTTTTTCATTTTTTTTTGCCTGTTTGTTTTTTTGATGTTTGTATTATGAGCCTGCATTGTTTGTTCGCGA